GCGGGCTAGAGTGAGTGGCGGCCGGCGGGCTAGAGAACGGCTTGCGGATTGCGGCAATTTATTAAATTGCAATAAATGTATTAAATTTATTAAAATTTCACATGTGACGACCCCGGGCTGGACTTTGCTTCGTCCACGGTGAAAGCCGATCTGGCGATCCACAGCGTGAAGTTGTTGTATTTCCTCAGCGACCAGCACAGATCAGCTCTAGGCATGACGAAGTGGATATCGTCCTCTTTTGGAAGACCATACAAAGTAGTTTCGCTTTCACAACGAATCACACAGCGCCTTCACGACATGGCCGCGGCGGCAACAACAATACTACCGCGAGAATTAAAGTTACGCCTTCTTTCTTTGCGTGCACATTTGGGCGGCGTTATGCAAATTTTCCCACATAGTGAGGTAGATATGTGGGGGCGTGTTCGAACGAGCCGTTTTAGGTAGGTGTGGCTAACTCTTAACTTTTATAAAGAATATCTCTTTGGATTTGAGACTTTAGTCTTTGCAACTTTACAGATCTTCTTTATGCACCAAGAGCTTGTAACACTCCAAAGAGAAAGGAAAAAATGAAATCGCATCATATGACCCCTTTAAATAGTCAAAATGTAAAAAGAAACGTAAACACGGATGAATTGTTAGAGCTATAACATGCATTTTAATGAATGAATGAATGTAATTTGTCTTGATCTTTACTTGGATCTTTGTAATAATCTCAATATTTGAGATACTTGTCACAAGGAAACTTTCCAATAAATAAGGAAATGAAGTTTTTTTTTTCCCCTCATATTGACCTTTTCCTCATAATCCTCAAATATAGGCTACTTTTTCCTAATAGATGTGAATGACTGATTGAAATATCACTATTTATTTTTGTTTCCCAAACCATGCAATACCTGTGTCCCTCAGCAATATAAAAATTATGTGTGCCTATTTATAGTAATCTGATTATTTTTGGTTAGGTGTACTTATGATCTAAATTTCATTATATTATCATATTTAAATAACCAAACTCTCATGCTTGGTGTCAAGTATTTTGTGCAATGATTTGTTTGAACATTTTTAGAAAATAAAAAATAAACATTCAAATGACGTTATGTTTTGGGTGAAAATAAAGGTGGAGTAAAGGAACGGTGTAAGAAAGGTTTTTGTAACCTTTAAATAACATTAATCACGACAAGAAAACGGGACATTTCAACGTTTCAAGAATGTTCCCACAACGTTTTTAGAAGCAGCTTATAGTTCTTACTGTTTAAATTGAAAATGTAAATTTCTCATGAATAATTTCGGTCATATTTCAAATACTGCACAAAATACGTTCACATTTGTATAATAATATTGGAAGTTTAATCGCGTGATCAAACCGGGCGTATGTTTCTTCCTGTAAGTTTCGTTTTCTCTCAGATTGAATCACTCGCCAATATGAACTGGAGTCAGTGTTCAAAGAATCACTCGCTGATTTGGAGTCAGTGTTCAGAGAATCATTAGCTTATTTGGAGTCAGTGTTCAGAGAATCATTAGCTTATTTGGAGTCAGTGTTCAGAGAATCATTAGCTTATTTGGAGTCAGTGTTCAGAGAATCATTAGCTTATTTGGAGTCAGTGTTCAGAGAATCATTAGCTTATTTGGAGTCAGTGTTCAGAGAATCATTAGCTTATTTGGAGTCAGTGTTCAGAGAATCATTAGCTTATTTGGAGTCAGTGTTCAGAGAATCATTAGCTTATTTGGAGTCAGTGTTCAGAGAATCACTCGCTGATTTGGAGTCAAGTGTTCAGTGAATCATTAGCTTATTTGGAGTCAAGTGTTCAGAGATTCGCTCCGAATCGCATATAAACTCTGCGCGGTTCGGTTCGGTGTCAGAAATCATGGCGGAGGAAACGATCCTGAAAGTTTTGTGCGGGAATCACGGATCGATGGAGTACGAGCGTCTTTTGGAGATTTCATACGGACTGAAAGACATATCAGCGGAGAATTCACTGGATAAAATCATCCGCCGCAGCGACATCTTCACCGTCATTCAGCGAAGCGAAAGCAAAGAGGTTTTCGCACAAACTACCGTCGAACTGTGTAGAAAGAGCGAGTGTGGCGAGCTGTGTGGAAACCTGCACCTGTGTAAATATGAGCTGATGATGGGACGCTGCAGCAGGTAGAGCTGGGGCAAGTTGTCACAAGCTGCCATTCGTTAGATCACGATAATATTAAATCAAGTCTCACTGATTGTAAATGAAGGCGAACAAACACACTTTACAATCAAAACAAAAGTTTGAGCTTGTAAATCAACAGATGTAGTGTGTTTTTGTTTAGTTAGAGAATGAAGGTTATGAATAAATAACGTTCCTTCAGTAACGTTAATGTAACGTGTAACGTGTCAGCGCAAAAACATGGAACGTTTTTTTTTTAAATTGTTTAAAACATTTTTAAAAACGTTCAGAGAACATTAATAAGTAACATTCTCATCTCATAACCCATACAGCTAAATAATAATAAAAAAAAATATATATATATAATTTATTTTTTTTCCATATGTATTTTAAATCTATTTCAGAATATAAAATATATATTTGCTAAATTATTTTTCAAAATATATTCATGTAAATATATTTTCTACTAGTATATTTTTGGCCATTTATTTTCAGATATATTTTAAATATATTAATGTAAATATATTTTCTACCAGCATATTGTTTTGGCAATTTTTGTGTATTTGTATATTTTAAAATATAAAAATATTTTTTTTTAAAAAGCATTCAAACTTATATCTTGCCCTATACATTTCAATCCAAGAAATGAATAGATTCACATTTTTGAAGAAAAACTTGATTTGCTGTCTATAACACTAGACATATAGTACATTTTGAATAAATTAAATGGGGAACATGCTTTAAAATGTTCCAAAAAATTACAATTACATAAAATGCATTAAATTAAACATCATTAAATCTAGTTTTGATCTCTAGCAGGCAGGTTACTGTAAGATTCGAAATGTATTTGTGTATGAAAAATTTATTTTCTATTTCAAAAATATATTTAATTGAGCTTCACTGTATGCAGCATGCATTTAGCATATATTCAAAATATATTTTGGCCACAAAAACATATTTTCTTGCATATGTGAATGATAAACGTGATAAAATGGAATGTTAAAAACGGGATGTTTTGAGCGTTCTGACAGCATTTAGAAATAACAAAACCGAGGACACAGACTGTTTTAAGTGACTATTCAAAATATATTTTGGCCACAAAAACATATTTTCTTGCATATGTGAATGATAAACGTGATAAAATGGAATGTTAAAAACGGGATGTTTTGAGCGTTCTGACAGCATATAGAAATAACAAAACACAGACTGTTTTAAGTGAGCCTGTGTGTGTTTCTGAAGGCACAGCTGCAGTTACGGACACCAGCTGATGTCTGAACACAACGTGAGGATCCTGAGAGCTCATGGGATGATCTGTCTGAGTCGAGAAGATCTGTGTGTGATATTTCTGCAGTCCGACAGCGGCCTCCTGCCTCCCGTGAGCATCCGCACGCCACACATACACTCATTTTCAGGGAAAGATGCTAAAGGCAGGACAATTTGTTGCTAAATGTCATTGCGCGATGACATCGTTATGTTATCACAATGCAAAACTGCATAGAATACACAATCAGATCACTCACATCTCAGCAAAAATATGATTATGAGGATGATTTGAAATGTTAATTTAGATTTGTTAGTAAAACTAAAAAATAAATATAATATTAAGGCAAGAAGCCGCAAGAAGCCGTGGTTTACAGTGAATTTATAACAGCTAAGGGGCGTTGTTAGGTACGACGCGAAGCTTTTATAAAACGGTTATTCCATATACGTAGTAAGGTTTCACAGAATAAAACAGAGCAAATAAAGTGTAATGATATTAATAAAAACAGTATTCTTCCACCAAACAATGTAGCTCCTCAGAATCAGTTGTGGTTGCTACAAAGTGGTTGCCGAGCAACAGACAAACGTAAACAAAGGTGTATGTTACTTTGTAGAGTAATTTACAACAGCTTAGAACTTGTCTCAACCAATCAGAATCAAGGACCGGAACTATCCACTTTATAATTAGAATTTTGCCATTAATTGTAATAATGCAGTGAAATTTTTGTGCTGCACACAGAGATCTGATCTGATCATCATCCAGTCTGTCTGTGATTACATGAAGAAACAGAACAAACTGAGACAGACTAAA